TGTACTCACAACAATAATGGGTTATCCCAGCAGAAAAAGGCACTGCATCTTTAAGTCCAAGTTGCCCAGAATTGCTTCAAAGAGAATCCAGGAGATTTACAATGAATGTTGTGGCCACTACATTCATGCCCACTCAGGTATCAATAGGACATAGATTTATTTACATACAAGGACTTTGCATAGCTCATCTTTGCTTCAAAAGTCTTCCAACCATTTGTGGAATCAATGGCATGGTACATGCAATTAACTTCATTTACTATAAAAAGTTTAAAAACATCTAATCTTAACCAACAAATCATGACCTCAAAAATCACCTCAATGTAAAGACAATATTATCAGTTCTGAAATCCATTGAAAAATTGCATTTTCAGTACCAATAATTTAAAAACTAAACAGCATTAAGTTCTGATATTGGTTATGCAAGCACAACACACTCTTATAGGTTAACATGTCATTTATTGAAATTTAGTACAATTCATGAATAACACAACCAACTAAAATACAATTAATATAAGAAAACAGCAGATGATACCAAAATACTGTATGGTATACAATATATACTCAAATCTATTATTATACAAAAGAAAAAAAAACATGCATTATATATCTTTTACTACAGGAGATGGCATTTTAAAATATGTTTAAATATATTTCAAATGTACATAACATACTTATAAGGTGTCTAAGCTATTTAATAAATTTCATTTCTGATGCTGTCTATCTTGATTAAATTATCCTATACATGACATTACTTATACAATATATTTAAGTGAGGGATTTAACATTAAAACAAAATGCCTGGATGTAACTAAACAAAAACTTTCGCTATGATACTGACAATACCTAACACTTGATAATAACAGGACGGATTGAAAGTTATTGCATACAAACACACACAAGAAATAAGTGAACTTTGTATAGTTTATCCACAATTTTGATCAGGATGTGCAACAACTTTGAAAATTGGAAAAATATAAAAATTTGACTCAATTGAATTTTAATTTTTTTCTTTTTATATGAATTCTTATATACATATATATATGTAAAATAATGATAAAGTAAATTGGTAATCTATATGGATAATTCCAGAGAGGATATAAATCCCAAAAGCTCAATGTAATAAACAGAGCAATTGTTAATTAACAAATCGGAGACTTCAGAAAGCCATGGTAATGTTTTATTTTGTGAAATCAATAATTTGATTTGGCTTCATCAGACCAGGTGGTTTCAAAACAATGAATGGATTCAAAAATTCTTCCAGGAATCAAACAAAAAACAAGATTAACGGAAGTTGTGTTTTAAGATTAGTTCCACAAAGTAGAAAGGGAAAGAAGGAGGTTATGTTTCTAGGAGATGCGATAGTAGTAGCTTTGACCTCTTGTTCACTGGGCAAGAATGGAACAAAGAAAAGGCAAAAAGACAGGAACAGGAGAAAGGAAAGAAGAGGGGAACTAGAGAACGTACACAGATTCCTATATTTGCATACATACATAGATACATATACATTATTCTATATAAACATATAAATGCACATATGTGCCTACATCCATACACATATCCATTTTTGGGGCCAGTTGATTCAGCAAGTGAGTTTGTACACACTCCTTAGTGGATTCTGACTTCCATAGCCACTGTCATACATATATATATATTGAGAGAGAGAGAGAGAGATGTGTGTGAACGGAGGTGATGAAAAGTTCTCAGCTAAAAAAAAAAAAAAAGAAAAAAAAAAAGTTCTTATGCCCATTCAGATTTTGAAAGTGGGTCAAATGAAGATTCCACACCATCCCACTATTAAAGATGCATTTGACCCCACAAATTTTGAATTTCATTCAATTTCTTTTTTGATAAGGATTAAAATTAGTCAAAAGTTCTGAACCTTGACAAGAACTAACCCCAAACTCTGAACAATTCCTTTAAACCTTCAAGAGGCATAAGTTAATCAGCCAACAAGAAAATAATAACTTGTCTGTTGTCTTCATCAGAACTTGTTTCAACATTTGCAAATTAAATACACTAAACACTCACGTGTGTGGGTGAGAGAGAAAAAACACACACATACTATACATGTTAAGCATGTCAGTCAGGAAGCTTTTCATTTTGTCTATTTTTAATATTTTTTTTTTAATTTCATCTTCAAGGTCTTCTTTTAATGTTGTTATTTTCTCAAAGTAAATGAATTCCTGAATTCCTAGTTCTTGTCTTTTCTTTTTAAACTTACATTCAAACTTTACCTATTCTTTTTATGTTTACCTCCAATCCTTCCCTAGAAGATATTTTCTTGGCATGTTATAAATCATAGGCAAAATACTAACTCCTGATCTTACTCCTTTTCCAGGCTTTATTATATCTCTGTCCATATGTAGTATTGTAATAGTAACATTGTTGCCATATTGATATTCCTAATACCTTAGAGTGCCATCATTTGATCAGATTTTGGGAAGTAGGTTGGTCTGAGAACTTTTCACTACTGTCTCACATGAATATAATGTAAAATATAAAATGCACAATATCTAGGCTACTTAGGTTTCAACATTTTGGTTAGGGTTCTTTAGAAAAAATTATAATGATATTTTAATGAGAAAATGGTGCCTGCTTTTTTCTTATTGGTCCAATGGTGAATTTCCTCCATGTTTCATATTTTGATATGTAAACATCCTGAGAAAATTTACCTGAAGATATGTTGGGACATAGAGAAAAAAAAATGCATGGGAAGAAAGATTTTGTGAATTGTGCCAAGAGGAAAAATTGGTGAGTAATCTGCTTCAGCAGTAATGCATGTTAGCAATCCACATTTCTAAACACAAAATACAGATTTTTGTTAACCGCTGGTGAAAAGACATTGCCAACAGTGATAACTAAAAGGAGTCCTCGACTTACATCTGAGACCTGTTTCTACGACATGACGTAACCCAATTTTCAATGTAGTCCGAATCTCACCTACATAAGCATCCACAAATCTGCATTACACTGGGAAGCCATAATGAAGGGTAAAAATTTCCCCAAAAGAATGACACAAGCAAGAGATAGCGAATGTAGCACAATCCAATATGGTGTACAGCTGGTGAAGAAACGATGCCATATTCATTATATAGCACTATGTGACAATGTATTATGGCACCATAGCCATGAAACACCATACGTTGGGTCCGATGTAACCTGAGGACCTTCTAAATATGGAAAAATATAGCTGCATTGCTGAAAACTTGCTCCATCCAGTGGTGTTATTGTGGTCCCTGTATCTGTGACAAACAGACATTATATAAATTTTAAAGAGAAGAGAGAAACAGCAAACGTTTTTGGTTATAATGGGGATTGTATATTTAAAAAAAATCCACATTAAAACCAAAAACATTTGTGGTTTCTTTCTTCTCTTTAAAAGATACACTTTTCTCTCATTGGAACAACTACAACCTCTCCATATATATATATATATATATATATATATATATATATATATATATATATATGTGTGTGTCATTCACAGACAGTACTGTTTCACAGCTCCTCACTGCAACTAGACATCCAAATGTCTCAAGCTAGGATCGAAATCCAACTGATTTGGTGTCAGTCAGAGTTTCTACTACTAAGCCACCATCACTCGGCAGAGAGAAACAGCTAATTCTAGTGTATTGGATTTTACAAATATAAACAAATGCCAATCAGTCAGAGGGCTCCAATTTATTTTACTGAAGAGCTTTGCATTAATAGAACAGGTAAAAAATCTGTGGGTAAGTAATCCAAGTAGATCCTATTAATATAAAATATTAAAACTGATCCACAAAAGAGAGCTCAATATAATTTTTATTATAGGGCATATAGTGAATTACAATTATTAGGATCCAATGATTTATTTTTGATCATTTCATCCATGGGAAAAAGCACTTTCCCATGGATGAAATGATCATCTGTATGAGGTAAATCATTTGGATCTCATTAATTGTAATTAACACACACACAATTTTATTAACACCACCACTCAACAAGTGATATCATACATATACAAGTGGTGGCGTAACAGATAGCAGCTCAGATTGAGAAATCAGAGAGCAGAGTTCAAATTTCAGTCAAGTTTGTTCCATTTGTTAGATGCAAATATCCTAAGAAAAGGTATGAATCCATCTCTTTTTCCCCCAAGTTATGGATAAATAGTAAGAATGGGTTCTATAGCCTTGTTTGGCATCCAGTCTGAGAGAAGAACAACTGAATTCAAAACCTACGGAGGGTCTTTTGGAGACCTTGTAGCACACTAAGTGCACCAGTTCTCTGTCTTGGTTCTTCTGAAAAGTGTGGTTGGATCAGCACAAGCCTTCACCATTCTAATCAAATCATATGTGCAAATAGACTGGCTGGTTGGTTCTAAGAACTGAGCTACTGTACCGTTATACAACAAAAACACAAAACAAAGGCAGGCAGTATACATTTGTAAGGAGAAAGTTCCACTCAGACAGCTTCTTCCCCAGAAATGTTACAATGTGGAACAGACTCCTGAGAGGTTTTTTCCCCACCAATAATTATGATCTTAATCTCTTCAAGGGATTCGTCAACCATCATACATTGTACATATCCTTATAATATGCATTTTTTACTTATGCCCTTCACATTCTTACAACCACCTTATTCAGTAACCCTCTACCTTGAGTGGCTCCTGGATCTTGTATTGGATGAACAATACCATAAAAAAAATTCCATTATCCCATCCACATTGTGGAAGTTATTAAGTCTGACTTACAATCGCATGTGTAAAGACTGCTCACCTCAATCACATTCCGAATAGTCAGGAATATTCTCTAAAAAGCTATATATACTGAAACTTCTTCAGTAACTATATCCTTTTGTATCCTTCATACTGAGACAATAAAAATTATATGAACTTGCCAATAAAATTCCAACCATGATATTAGTAAAAAAAATATATATGGATACAAAGACTACTATGAAAGTGATTTCACAATTTTAAAAGTAAAAAAAAATACATCAAGGTGTAGTAAGATAGAAACCTTTTCATTTCGGATATCTTCAGCATTTGTGCTTGGAGGCTTTTCCATAGCCACAATGGACAGCAACTGAAGCAAGTGGTTTTGCATAACATCTCTGGGGAGAAAAAAAATTAAAGATGGAATTGAAACTTTCATTAAATTACAAAACAACAGAAGAAACTTTATTTATAAACAAGTATCCTCATTTTTGTTGCTTTTATCACAATCTTAAAGATTCCTTGCATGCAAATTGGATTTATTTGTGTCTTTACAGCTTAACCCTTTGTGGGTTATTCAAAATCAAAAATTTTGGTTTATAGGATGTTGCTTACAGTAATGGATTAGAAATATTACTGGATTCCTTTTACTAACACACAGGTAGAAATATATAGAAATCTTATTAAACAGAAGCAATCCAAATACTGAATATGGATTGGTGACCAGAATTCATGTCATTATACCCCTTGACTGAGTATGGTTGTAGTATTTTATCTTCTGTCTTCTTAATTCCTATTCTTTTATTGTTCTCTTGCCTTAATTTTTTTTTTCTCTCATATTCTCTTAAACTTAGTAACATTTTGTGTCTTAGTGGCTTTATTGCCTTGCTTGGGGGTAAAATGATTTACAAAAAAGGGGGGGTTGCCGATGAACACCTGACCAGTTCCTTCCACATATCTGGATTGAAAGCCAGAGTGGTATTCATTCATGCAAAGTGTGTCTTGGGCAAATAGATCTGGCAGAGCCCATCCCTCTCCAGGTCAAACTATAGCAGAGATTCTCCAACTTGAAGGCTTGACTTGGTCACAAATACATGTCTGTTAATTCCACTGGGGGAATCCTTAGCCCTTGTCATTGACTGCAGTCTAGTTAGCTAAGGGCTGGGTCATCACTGTACTGGCTGCATACATAGCTATGATGCTTAGTCTACCCGATTGTGCTGGATGGGTGTTGACCCTAGAAGATTCATCCATCTTTTGTTTTTAGTCCTACTTGGTGTCTAACCAGAAAGGCCTGGTGGAGGAACCAGTTTAGTTGCCAATGACCCAACTATGTGGCAGGCAGTATTTGATTACATGGTTTCCAGTAAGACTGCAGAGTTGTCTGACATGTTATTGTCGAGAAATTATTAATTCACTGCTATTTGATATTATTTAAAAAATAAAAAGTAACACCATTTAAAAAAAGTAAAAAATATGTATACCAGCTCTAAGTCAGCTGATACTGACCTGATGATTCCTGATTGGTCAAAATACCCCCCTCTACCCTGAGTTCCTATTGGTTCTTTGAAGCTGATGACTATACTGGCAATGCTGTTGCGGTTCCAAATTGGATTAAAGATTGAATTTCCAAATCTGAAATCAATAAATATGCATTTATGTAAGAAATATCTTCAACATTATTCACAATTATAATCACAATTACATTGCTGCAGTAGCATCTGATAACACTGGTTCCACATAAACAATGTTCAATTTTCAGCTAAATGAGGAGCACTAGGAGGAAATAGAAATAAAATACCAATGTGAAGATTTAATGGGGAAAAACCATTACAAAAAGGAATAAATAGGACACATGTTAATAAACAATGACACAGGGTATAAAATAATTATGAGAATATACAAGGGTGGACCAATATTTCTGTAGCTTAAGCTGTATTTTCACTGCTGAATGTTTAGTTTATGTGGCTAATATTCACCATTGAATTTATCTCCTTTGTCAATATACCCATGAGAGAAGAATAAATGTTTTATTTTCAAATCATACTATGATGCACCAGTGTATATAGTAGCTATTATAAATAAAAAAAAAATTGTAATAATAAAGTATCTTTCTGTAAGAGTTTTACACATTGTGCTTATTTTGCATTGTTGAGTGAATTGCTATGGTTAGTTATAAATAAATAAATGTCCAACAAACAGAATTGACAAAACTTGCAATAAACAATTACAAGAAAAAGAAAAGAACATGGCAACAAATAATACAAAGCAAGCAAACAATATATGCAAGGCAAATAATCAGTAATAAGGCAAAACAACTGTAATATGGCAAAAAGTTCACAAACTAAGAATTAGGATTGACACACAAGAGTAAATTTGGATGAACAAATGCAGTGTTCCAACTTCAAGGCAAGACAGACCAGGACTGAGTCGTATGAAACTGAGAACTGACATATTTTATTGGTTAGTAAGAAATCATATTATGCATTGTGTGCATCTGCCTATAACTGATGTTGGAAATTGCAATCATTCCCACTGATTGTAACATTTTCATTGCATAATTTTTAATCTTGTCATGGGGTTATTTATATCATTTTGTAAATAAAAATAATTCATACTTTTTATCTGCCTCCCCACATTCTTATAAATATGCAGAATTAGTTTAGGATCTCATGCAAAACACGCATTGTTTTGGTGATTGTGATATAGATGTATTTTTTGTATAAATGTGGTATTGTGGTGGAAGGATTTTTTTATAATGTATGCTTGGGTCAGTGAATGTGACTAGTTCAAGTTAGACCAGTGATGACCAGCCTACCTTATTCCCCTTCTTGGCCTTGTGCCACAATTGTATTTATATACAATAAATTTCCACAGAAAGTAAATTTTTAAGAGACAAAGATGTTTGCCCACATCCAACCTGTTTTGAATTAGCAACATTCCTTCTCCTAGACTAGTTGACAACCAAAGCTAGAGAATCCAGTCTGCTATTAACCTCTAATTGGGGAAAGAGAGAAGACAGATTCATATCTTTCCAAGGGTATTTGTAAACACAACTTTTAAACAAAGCTTTTACTTAAATTTGAACTCAACATACCAATCCTACTTTCAGCACTGATAACTTTATTCATACAACTGTGATTCCCAAAATTTGCTCACACCTCACCAAATTTTATGTGATAAAAAGTACATTTAAAAATAAAAAACAGAGGGAGGGTTAAATGGAGATAACTGTAGATTCAAAGTTCAGAACATTATCAGTGATAACTCTCCCCTCTAATTTGAAGACACTAGTTGCTATATTCTTAATATTTGATATTATTGTGATATTTTTGTATTATAAAAATGGTCAATAACTATTTATACTGAGACTTATGCATGCAATTACAAGTAATCCATAATAGTATTTTAATATTTATATTGGCATATAAATTGTTTGAAACTGTTTCTAAATCTTTGTCTTTCCATCATTCTGCCTCACCTGCTATCCTCTTCTGATGTACTTATGAAGCATGCAACACATTTGGGAAGCACTATCATACAGCATATACTATTCATATAGAATAAAATGTATAAAAAACAGAAATACTCTGAGCAAAGGAAATCAATACATCTTATAGGCTGGTTTAACTGTTAATCATTATTTTCTTTTAAAAAGAGGCAGAATATGAATGACATTGTATAACAAATACTTTCAGTTGGGTAGCATATTTATTTTGCCTGAGCACTAAAAAAAAAAAAAAAAAATCTATTGGACATAACATTTCCATTACACTCAAAAGGAAGGATCAGTATACTGATGTTTGTCATTTAATCTAAATTCATCAAGTAGTCTTAAATTGGTTGTGTAAAAAAAATTGGTAAATATGTATGAGGGTAAATCAATGTTTATTCTGACAGTTACTAGCTGAAACTGACTAATATTCATGCAGGTTCCTTCACAAAGGAGATTATGTTGAAAAATGAATATTTGTTGCATAAATACCATTATTAGACTACCGACTTATTGATGTACTTACAATTGTGTACTATACCGTAGGTAATCTATATCTATAAAACAGGTGTGTGTGTATGTATGCTATTAATGCACGCCTACATTTCTTGACCAATTTCAATGTAATGGTACACACATGTTGCAAATTTACTAAAATAGGTCAAGACCAACTTTTCAATCTCCAGGCCTCCTAGGTTTAGCAGAAAAACTAATAAAACTGAAGGTGGGTATGACTTTTTGCAAAAACCAAGGCAAAGTTACATGTGAACAGAATTTTTACTGGATGAACTAATATTCTTTGCACTTAATGCAAAATATAGCTCATGTTACAAGGTTTATGTAGTGTGCTTGATAGTTTTCCTGCAACATTGGCTTCACACAAAAAATTGAAAAAATCTGAAAAACATTAGGTTTTTCATACTACTTGAAATAAAAACTTGAATAACTTCCTCATTTTTTATCCAATTTTCTTCAAACATGTCGTAAAAAATTGCAATCATACAAGAAATAAGATAGTTTGGTTTTAGTCCTGCTTGCTTCCCCACATATAATGAAAAACCATAAAAAATTGTTCAAAAAGCCTGTTTCACTGGTTTCTTGTACGATGCTTTCCAAAGTTGCCATGTAAATTACATATGACACACAAATTATCTTGCATTAATGTTTGGTTTAGATTATTTCAGATAAGTGGACAAAATCTGTGACAAACTAGGTCCAATATCAGCTTTTGCCATTTAGCCATACTTTCTTCATATAATTCCATCTTAAATTGAACAACCTTTGATGCAAAGATTGTTTGAGAAGGAAGCAATAAAAGAGAACAATTCCTAAAGAACCTCTTATTAACCCCACATTTATAGTAGACATGCAAAAAAGGAGGGGGGGCATTCATGCATTTACACTTGCAATTGAACCAAACTTTGCTTTTGTTTGATTATTAGATTTGTGAACAATGCCATAATATTTGAAAGTTATTATGGCCATAGGAAATTTACTGAATATATAAAACGTTGAAACAATTTAACCCTGAGCGACAACCACACAAGAAGGTTTTTATCAATTTATTAATTCCTTTATTAAGAACAATCAAACACTTGTGAAGGACATACTGTAAAAAAGATGAGGCAGGAAGTAGTGTAGTATACCAACAGATGATACATGCAGGCAGACATTTCTAGACAGGGGTTTGCATGTCTACAGGAGGGTGTGGTTATACAATTGCAGCCATGTACACCTGGGCAATGCTGGGTACCTCAGCTAGTTATGTATAAAGAGTATAGTACAGAAAATACAATATTGCAAAGAACTGAAACATTGTAATACGAAAAACAAAATTAAAAAGTAAACAAGTTTAAAGAAATTAAGTGATATTATGAATCCATATTCTGAATCCTCCTTTCATTTTTTTTCAGTACATTTAACCATTCTCATGTATAACCTGTTATAATCACTTTCAAAATTATAGAAAGTCTTAACTATTTAGTATTGTCAGGATAAAAATGTTGATTATCTCTCTTTTGACAGGAAAAATTTTCTTATGTCTTAAGGGTACCTTGTGAATCACATGACAGCCCATTGGTGAGAATAGTCAGTTGCTGCAAATCTGATGTATTCTCAAAAGAGATACCACAGGGCTATACTGTGTCCCTCTTGGGGTTTTTACAAGTAAGACCTTTTTACTCATCCCCTTCATATACTGCCTTCTTTGATTGAAAGGAAAAAAAATGTTTATAAAAGAAATTACCTCAGCACCATGAAGTTCTGCACCATCTCTTTGCCAAGGTAGTGATCAATTCTATAAATCTGTTCTTCGGTGAACAGAGTACTAATGTGATCCCTCAGGGCCAAATAAGTTTCCAAGTCTCTCCCAAATGGTTTCTCAATAATCACTCGAGTCCACTGATCACTGAAAAAAATTAAAAAAAAGTAATTGTTAATAATAAATTTATTTTTTCATACTATTGTACACCCAATGGTTACCCAAGGTAGATATTTACTGAATGATGCTATTGTAAGGGCATAAAGGGAAGATGTAAAACGTGCATATTGTGAGGATATGTATAACAGATAACTGTATAACAGATTTAAAGGACAGAGAAGCATCCTCTTGAGAATCTGTTCCACAAAGTAACATTTCTGGGGGAAGAAGCTTTCTGAGTGGAACTTGCTCCTTGCCAATGGAATGAGGATGGGTTAAACTTGTGTGTGTGTGTGTAGCATAGCAGGTATAAGCTGTGAAGATCTGAACTGGTGGAACTAAGGAATGTAGCTTGTCTGGACATTTGCTATAGAAATAGTGACAGAGTAGTGAAGGGCTAACAATATTTTGTCTATGGGAAAAGGTTTGTATAGTGGAAAATAATTCATCACCCACAAGGTGGTGTAAATGCTTTTGAACTATTTATCCAATATTATTATTATTCCAATAAGGTATGTGAAATGAATGAAAGAGGAGGTTGTACGAAGTGAAGATAAGGAGGATAGATAATGCTGGACTCTTGACTTGAAGGGGCCAAAATTATAGCATTCAGGGAAACAACTATGTGGGAGTTTGTTTTATAAAGTAGTAGTTCTTGAAGAAAAAAGCTGTTCGGGTAGAACTTGCTTCTTATGTTTTGGAATACAGAGATAATGAGGGTGATTTGACACCATGGAAGTTGCATGGCATGTCTTAGCTGTAAAGGTCTGAGCTGGTGGAACTAAAGATATGATTAGGGCTCATCTGAATATTTGCCATGGAAATAGCAATAGGCTTGCAACATTTCATCTGTGAGGAAGAGGCTGCAGATTAATATATAAAATTATTTTCTTTTCTATGAATATTACAGGGTTATTCAAAAAGAATGAACTGATTTCATTATACAATATTCTAGTAAGGAAAAGCAATAGAAAACTCCAACCAAATCACAAGTATTCTACTCACAATCAATTTTTATTTCCTGTCTTACAAGTGTTCAATGTGGCCACAACCTGCAGTACGGGCAACATCAATGCAATAAGAAAATTCCTCCCAGACACACATCAGCATATCACGATCCACCAAGTTGATCACTGTTGCTATTTGATGTTTAAGATCATCGAGGTTAATGGGTAGTGGTTGAACATGAAAGCGATCATTTATGTATCTCCACAAGAAAATATTACACATGGTGAGGTCTGGGGATCTTGCAGGCCAAGCACAAAGGGCAAGGTTTTGATAAATGCCTGAATGAGGCATCGTCTGTAAGGTTTCAAATGTAAACATCTTCTTAGCACATGCCAGATAGTGGATTGAGAGATCACAAGATCATGGCTAGCTCAATTTGTGGACTTCCGTGGGGATTACCCACAAATACAGCATGAATTCTCGCCACTTATTCCTCTGAAATTCATGGTTGTCCTGGACTTTTTCCTTTACATAGATACCCATTCTCTTGAAACTGCTTAAACAACCATTGAATATTATTAGAAGAGGGAGGAATTATGTCGAATTGCCTTTGAAAAGTATGCTGCACCATGACAACTGTATCTATTTTTGAGAACACAGAACACCTTTGGCTGAGGACATGCCATTGTGGGGATAAACAAACAACTGAATGTTGCTGAAGATATGACACAACTACAGCACCTCTGTGACAGCCATTCAAAACTTAGAAAACTCCTCTTTCAAATGGTCAGTGACTTATTCCATGACTATGCTCAAGAACTGAAGCAATAGATCATGAAGTCGGTTCCTTCTTTTTGAATAACACTGTATTTTGTTACATGCTGATCATCATCTCGAATTAGAGTAGTTAAAGTTGGCTATTTTCTCCAGATTAAACTTTTGTTCTGAAAGATTATTGGACAGGGTTTACAGAGAATGTTCTCCAGAGACAGTTGAGGGAAGGAAATTTGATATTATATACAAGTGATGAACTTATCAATTTCAATATATAATGTCCCAAAAGTTTCAGTTTAGAACTGAACCATTAGACTACAAACATTGATTTTTTTTTTTATAATGATAAAGGCTGGCATAGAACCAGCTACATATTTTTAGAACTGATAATAGAGAAATGGTACACAGTATACCATGAAACTTCCAAATAGCCCTTTTCATGTTTTAGCATCAAAGAGTTTAATAATGTAGTGTTGCATAACTGTTACACTACCCACATATATAAAAAGAACAGTTCAGTGCACAGATACTACACTCTGACCAATATTTATTGACCTCCCCCATGAAGGTAGGATTGACACAAGATCGTCTTTAACATAGGGTGCCCATATGAGCAAAGAACAAAAACTGATTACCCAGTCCCTATGACCATAGTCACGCCAACACCTGTGCCTATCAACCCTCCCTTTTTAGAGTAGTGCGGCATCCCTCAAAACCTTTCCATGAACTGTCTGAAGACAGAAAAAAGCAAAGAGGTTTAAAAACAGATATTAAGGCTAGATCCAAGGCAAAAAACTGGAAAGGGAGATGCTGATGATAGAGATATCACAGAGATAGTCTGATCCTCATGTGAATTGCTAATTCAAATCTGATATTTAAGAAAATTTTTGACAGGTACTATGCAAGTAAATCAAACTATAAACATTTTACAAAATTGGAAAAGGCTTGACCTTTCTGTAAAACACATCCAAACTGTATAAACTTTTGCAGTATTTTCATTTTTAACAATCTTTGTGACTATAAGCCCATAGACAGAGGATTGTAAGGAGAGTTTTTCATCTTCAGATTAAGAACTTAAGATTAATACAGTGAGTCCCCCGTATTTGTGGGGGTTAGGGACCAGAACCAGCTGTGAATAGTTGTAATCTGTGAATACTTGTAACCACTGCCAAAAGTGCTTATAAGTATCTATTTTGATTGTTAAAACCCCATATGTCTTAAACTTTCATCCTAAACACTTTAGTAACATTTTGGACCCTTTTCAAAAAGATTTTGAAAAATAGTATTGGTGACCATGCACTTAGTATAAATTTTCTTTCATACATACAATAACCGTATTTAATTACACATAGATCAATACAACCATTGAAAATACTGTATAAAATGTGTGTAACAAGACATAAAATATAAAGTTTAAAACATTTTCTAAAAACAGAACTGTTATGATGACCCCAGACTTGGCATAAGCCACTTTTATGACCCCAGCCACAGCCCCCAAAAAAGAACAAAGCCAAAGATCTATGCATGTTTTTGCATTTGTTTTTTTTTTTGGGGGGGGTACGATGAAGATGTACAATTCAGCCAATTTTTAACATAAAAATGGACTGTTACATGTTTTAAGACACTTAATAGAAAAATAATACAAGAAAATTTTAAATATATTCTATTGAAAAAATATGCAAATTGAGAGTTCTCAGCAAATAATTTGTACATATGTTCTTCAGAAAAACACATGAATATTCAGGTTTCTGCAAATAACAAGTATAGAAAGAAAAATCTGTGAATGCTGAAATGTGAATAGACGGGGGTTCACTGTATAGACTTTATTAAAAGAAGATCATATTTGAGATTGTCTAACTCATGTGGAAATATAGGATGAAACTCACTTCTGAGACATGCAAACATTTTTGATCTGAGTTGTTGCTGGCTCAAATATATTAGGTGGGAGAGCCAAATAGAAGATGCGATTACATGATCCTATCTTTGCAATCAGTTGGTTCAACTTCTGAAAGTCTGCCTGGGAGTTGTAGTCACCAGATATGTACTGATTGACCTTAAAGAATGCCTCAAGCTTTTCTTCTTCCCCATTTTTCACCTGAAAAGAAATAAGTTTAACAATCAGTAAATGTAAATGACACTAACAGGTTACAATGTAGACAGGTAAATTCTTGTCTCAACTTAAAAAAAAAAAAGAAAAGAAAGCATTATATTTGAATTCAGAACAAGTTGTGAAAAGATAAAGTCCCAAGGAAGAATTAAGTCATTGATAAAAAAAAAAAAAAAAGATGCCTCAAATACAATCACAGCTGAAAGAAAGTAACAGAATTTAGCAGGTCTTGGATTTATGTTGACAGTGCTCAAAAGAGACATAGGTATATGAAGAACCATTATAATCCTATGTTCCACCCATCAAACATCTCTTATACCTACCATTACCTATTTTCACTATTACAATGCACCTTCAGATTTCAGTGTCAACATTTGCACTCTGTTAAAAACACTTCCCAGATATTTAAATTTCCGCACTTATTTGATTTTGATATCTCCAGTTTGTAATTTGTATGTTGGTCTGTTCCCTTTTGCTAACAACTATACAGCTTTAAAAACAGACTTTTTAAAACTATAACTACATTTGGTTTTCATGGCTTTATAGGTTAAGTTTTATTGGTATGTATAAGCAGTCCCTCATTTAGTTGCATTTAAAAATTCTACATGTCATGTAAGAATTCATAAAAATGTATAAATGATCATAATTAAAATTATTTTAACTAATATTTCATCATATAGTAGTAACTTGCAAGCAGCTTGCAGGAGATACCATAACAGAGGCTATAATCTGTGAGAAGGCACAAGCTATTTATGCTAATTTGCTGCAGCAGACCACTGGCACTTCAACAGACGAAGCATCAGTCAAGCCGTTTAAAACCAGCACTGGCATTCACTCTGTTGTCAGGTATGGTGAGGCAACAAGCGTGGATATGAAGTTAGCTGAGAATTACCTCAAAACTTTTACTGAAATTATAGCAGCCAAAATAGACATCACCCGGCAAATCTTTAACTGTGACGAGACAGGACTTTTCTCGAGGAAGATGCCAAAGATGACTTATATACCGTCAGAGGAGGAGAGGATGCCAAGCCACAAACCCATGAAGGACAGGCTAATTCTTGCATTGTGTGCCAATGTGAGCAACAACTGCAAGATTATGTCACTGCTCATTTATCATTCTGAAAAACCCAGAGCCTTTAAGTCACATAAGATTCTTAAAGAAAAACTGCAGGTTATGTGGAGAGCAAATCCGAGGGCCTGGGTCACCAGGCAGTTCTTTGAGGAAGGGGTGAATTTGGTATTGACGTTAAGAAATATCTCGAGGAAAATAACCTACCTCTGCAAGCCCTCCCATCCTGGACAATTCACCTGCTCACCTACCTGACCTTGAAGATGACATCTTCAAAGAGTTCAAGTTTATAAAGGTTCATTATTTTCCACCCCACACTACCCCAATCCTGCAGCCCATCGACCAGTAGGTGATTTCTAATTTCAAGAAGCTCTTCCCCAAGCACTTGTTCCACTGTTGCTTTGAGTTAATGGAGAGCACAAACTTCACCCATCAAGAGTTCTGGGAGGACCACTATATGACCGTGATATCCCTCAGAATTATCGATATGACCTGGCAGGGTGTTACAAAAAGAACCTTGACCTGTGTGTGGAAGAAGCTGTGGCCTGAGGTTGTGTCTGAAATGAACTTTGAAAGACTTGTCCCTGAAGTGGCAGTGGTGGAAGAGATTGTATACCTCAACAAGTCCATGAACCTGGACATAGATGAAGGTGAATTCAATGAGCTCATTAGGGAGCACTCGAAGAAACTGATAACGGAGGAGCTAAAGGAGCTACAGATACAGTAGCACATGGAGGTTTTGCAGGAAATAGATGATGTGGAGGAGGTTATCTCGACAAGTGAAATAAAGGAAGTGTTGGGAATTTGGGAGAAACTTTCAAACTTAATTGGAAAGAAACCCAGGAAATATTGCAAATTGGAGTGCAACAGTGCCAGTGCTATTTAATGGCACTTGCCTAACACCTTTCAGAAACATTCTGAAAGGAAGGATGAAAGACTGCATTGGACAGGGTTTGAAGATGAAAGTGAGGAACCCATGACGAAAAAGGTAAAAAAATCAGTGAATAAGATTCAGTTCAGCTTTTCTCCTTCACCTCATCTTCAAGTCGTCTGATCTCTAAGGTAAATGCTATACGTTATGCTTAATAAAATTGGTTTATTGCAGTACATTCTATTGTATTGCGTTTTTATACAATATTCCCTATTTATAAGTACATTTTTCTTATTTAAAAACATGTAACAAAAAATTTGCAGTGTTTTTGGTGGGGTTTGGAACAGATTAATAACATTTCAATCCATTTCAATGGGAAAAACTGATTTGACATACGATTAATTTAAGTTATGAGCTCTGTCATGGAACAAATTAAACTTATGAGTCAAGGCAACTTTGTATTTTAAGATACAGTAAAAGCACTAATTACATTTACACACAGCTCCTTCCATATTAATTTCTTTGAGGCAAATTTTAAAAGTTCATCAATTGAAAGGACCTTGTTTTTATGAATAAAATGCTGGTCTAGTAACCTGTTTGTGCAGATAAGATTTATTTTAACTTGTATACAAGATAGAAAAAAGGCACAGTTATTTTCAGGCTTACTTTTCTATTGGTGAAATTATAAATATTATCCCACCAAACAATGGAAAAAGAAAACAGGTTTATACAAAGAAATCAGTAATAAAAATAAAACACATGCTAACTCTTCTATTTGGAGAATTTTACATGAGAGAAGAGAAGAGAATTTATATGAATAATGAAGAAAGAAAATATATTAGAAACATACAGAATTTATTTTATTTTTTGAAAATTCTGAACAAAAAAGAATACATTCTATGAGAAGGTAACCAATTTAAATTATGTATATGTGAAAACAAAAATACTTTAGATGAGTGATTTAATGAAGCAATAAAATATTCATATATAAAGAATGTAAAGAATTTAGTGTTTTCTACATATCCAACTATAACCTTGACTCTCATAATGTGTGAGAAACAGAAACACACACTTCTATGTGTGTGTGTGTGTGTGTGTGTATCTCCTATATATATTTATTTAAATTTTATCTTCATAATTTTATATCTATTAATTTATTTGCATTTTTATTTATGGAAAGGTTACGGAAGATGACATCATGAAGAGTCTTTAGAATTCTACTTAAGGGAAAATACAAAAGACAATATTACAAAGTAATAAAATTCTAACATGTAAAAAAAAATAATTTTATTGAATAATATCAGAGAAAATATATTCTTTTTCTAAGCAAAGGTATTTCAGCATTTTTAAATGCAGCTACCTTAACTTTGACTTATGCACGAAATATAGAAACTTAATAGGTTATAAAATTGGGTTCTATTCAGTCTTGGAATATATATATATATATATATATATATATATATATATATATATATATATATATATATATGCATGTACACACAATAAAAGAAGAAAAAAGAGAGAATTCTTAACTCAATATAAAAAAAAAACGAGAAAATAAACAATAGCTGTTATCTCCTGATGAGTCAATTGCGTGTGGCTGGAGAGTCCATCTATGAAACTCTAAACTCAGATGATTGATATTATTCTCACCATCCTAAGCGAAAAATTTTATTCTTGTATTAATCATATATATAACAGACAGAAAATGTCTATTACATTTAATCATGAGCCGTTCTAAGCTCCATATAGTTACTTTAATTTTAGGAAGAAATAAAGACAAAAACTGTCCAACATTTCTGTCTTTATTTTCCTGAAATTAAATTACATGTTTGAATAATGATCTGCTACCACAATACACTATATATATATATATATATATAATAAAAATAGCGCACTGTGAGTACTTATTCTAATAAAACAGTGCCTGATGTAAAATCAGAGAGCTAAAATTTATACTAATAATAAATATATATTTGTTTTTCACCATTTGGTGAAATGGACTTTCATGCACATGGCAATCATCAGGCACCAACTGAAAACTATATATATTTTAATATTATCGCAAAATAATTATGTATAAAGAAGCCATAAACTTGCTACACAAGAGATTTGAGATTATAACAAAATGTAAACAAATAAAGAAATTCCTACTCAGATCTCCAGTGATAATGGAAGATCTTTCAACAACACTCTGGGTAAAGACATAATAGAACATCATTTGGATAGCAATGAGTTCAAAAAATCTTTTATTAAAGTGCATGAAAGTCCATTTAAAGGATATTCATTTAATCATATAAGAATATCCTTATACTCTTCATGGATGGGAAGTGTGTGGGGAAATAATGATAAAAACCCTAAAGACTTGTCGCTTTAAAACACTGGGAAGAGCTAAACCTGATTATTTTCAGCTTATTTGTCATTCAAAGGGCTATAAACTCCAGACTTTTAACATATTGGAGTATATCTGATACTGGACTATTACCATTAAGACCCAATGCCTTTTTAAACTGTTCATATGGAGAAATTTCTGTGAAAACTGATTTTGGGACCTAAGAATTTGAGATTAAGGAGAAAAGATCCCCCACCACTAGCTTCAAATTGGGAAAAATTAAATAGGAAGAAGATAATTGCAAATTTTTTGTTTGGCAACAGAGTGGAGCATTAATTTGATTCTGTTTAGTGGCATGTACATAATTTATGCTTTTGACGACAAATATTTTGCACGCAATTTTATACTTTCAGTGTAAAAGGTATGTTTTTTTTAAATGAATAGTTTGTAAATCATAAAATGCATTCTTTCTAACTGGACTATAAAGACTATTTTATTGTTGCTCATTTTGTTATAAAAATATACTGTTGATTTTTGTTTGGTAGTTTACTATTAACTCATAGCTGAGACCCTAACAGGTGCTACCACCTCAGATCAGGATGGTCCTGGGAACAACAGCAATTAAAAGGTGGTTCCACACACACACACACACATCAAAACTTCTAATTACCTGATCAGAGGCCTTGCTGCCAGATTTAGTTTATCATCATACCCAGGATGATAGAGTGGAACAGGAGTAGTGTATTTCAATATAGAAATGCAAAAGATATAAGAATATAACCAAACTAGCCTGATGATCCAAGGTGGGGGGACTGCAGTAGCTTCATAATGTGGTTTTATCTTTCTTTTTCAATAATATTCAAGAAAATTACTTTACAGAATAGGTACTGAGCACCTTCTAAAATCTACTGGAATTAAACTTTATTCTATAATTGATGGATGCAAACCTATAATTATTTTAACCATAACAACTTTGTTCCTGAAATCCCAAACAATTTTACAATTGTTATCTCAAATTTTCAGTTTTACTAAATCATCTGGCATATCTGGGAGTTACCAAATAGCACATCACAAAAAATAATGCCACATACCTGTTAGCCTTTTTTACTGTTTCTTTTAGATGTGTGGAGAAGAAAGAAACGATTTGAAAAAGTTTAGAAAAGCTATAGGAAAATTAGCAACTCTCCATAAGAGTTGAGACACAAAGGATGAGACAAATGAACAGTTTAAAAAGGCATACTTTATATAAGTAATATATTATGCAATGAGAATGAGAAGAGAGAATTGCTAAATATATTCCTTTAGCAGTTAATGTCATGGCATTGGGGATGAAATCCAAATACATGTATCAGTTTGAAATTGATTGAAACGTTTACTTGAAGTTGATTATATCTCTTCTTCCAATGACTGCTTGTCTATGCATTATTTAGGTTTGCTTGTGGCCAGCATCACCTGTTTTTGAAGTAGGCTAAAAAATATTCATTCACTCCATGGTTTTCAGGGCTTCTCACCTTTGGTGCCTAAATCCACTTGGCACCTAAATTTGGGTCTTACCCATTATTATCAGATAAATGGACTCATCTCCCTCTCCCGTTTGGGGCATCTTATCAACCAAGTTGAGATAACCTATATTTTTCATAAAGCTGGATCCAGCTTTAAATAATAATCTACTTTTGTGTTAACAGAAACCATGCTGTTATTTTTCTATGTGCTGTGTCTCTTCAGGACATAAATGATCATGGCTCTCCACAATATCTTTATTGTTTTGCACCCTTTCAATTTTCTGTATATTTACCGAATTCATTTTCAGTTCAGTTTGCTGCCAGTATAAGTTCTAGATTATTCTAATAACCTTTGCAAATATGTCAAGGTTACCTAGCAGGTCCAACAGTTCTTTGTAACATAGCATTGTAAACTTCAGTCATGTTACAATTCATTAGGTACTGAAATTTCACACTGAGTATCAAAAAGTGACAACTTTTCTTGTTCTTTTTTAACATATAAAAACTTACTGAAAACTAGTATTTAGAACAACTCCACAGCTTTCAAAGTATCCAAAACTCTTTGTTACAAACTTGAGGATCATTCAATATCCTTCAATAATGTTAATTTTTTGCCAGGTGGTTTTAAACTTTTGATCAAGTGTATATACTTAATCTATGAGGAACCTATTTCCTAATAGAAGCCAACTATAAAGCAAGTCAGTTTACTCCTCAGTGAGAGCCCCATATTTATCACTAAGTTAGCTGAAGTAAATAATGAACAAAGCAAGTATAGACATCTGCGTTTCACTGCACCCTCAAGGGAGATAAATCAAAGTCAAGGGAGATAATTATGAAGCCAGCTGTGATTTTTTTTTTAAATAATCAAATTCAGCATTTGAAAAGTTATCTCCACATTATCCAAAAAATAAATTTTAAGCAGTACAAAGAATTCACTTACCTTCATGAAAGGCAATGCTTTTTCACGGATGTCAGCCATTTGCAGTTTACTGCGTGCATAGCCAATGAAATGAGTTTTGGGTGGAAGCAACCCATCTCTGTAGAGCCACCTGTAAAGAGGTGAAAAAAAAGCACAAATTATATTACAATGAGTCATAGAAAAAAAATAAACAAACTTAACTGAAATATTAAAATTAAAATAAAAGGAATTTATAGATCAATGAGGAAGCAAAAGAAAATTCAAAAGGTAGAATCCCACAGAAATTTTCTTTCAAATTGAAAATTAATTTGAATTAATGAAAGAGTGAGCAATTCCATCCAGAAATCTATTACAAAATCTGTTGTAAAAAAAAAAAAAAAAAATGACAGCAAATTTTGTTATGTCATTACTATTATAGGAATGAGTTTTCTCATATAAGTCTTTAAATATATTTCTTTCCAATTACTATGTTAATATGTAATCATCATAGTAGCAGGGGTGGGGATCAGTCTGTTACTTAAAAACTATGTAAAACTGACTCCCACTTTAAGTTTTCTTAATACTAATTCAACACCAAACTGGTGCTTTGTGGAACCAACTCTTAAGAGGATGCTTCTCTGATCACTACAATTTGGTCAAGTCTAAGTTCAACTCTTCTCTTCCTCGCATATCCCTATAAACTGTGCTTTTTATTCTGTAACCCTCTATGTCATACAGGGTGAAAATCACTGAAAAAAAAACAAAAAAAAAAACTACGCCATAAAAAAAAAAAAAAAAAAAAGTCCTTGCTATGTTTGGAATGTTGTACCTTTCTCTTTCATGGAGTCAGTTTTTTTTTTGTAAACATTTCTGAAGTTTGCTTTTGTCAAAGATACTGTCATCAGCTGTTGCCAGTGTAAGAAAGACAACTTATTATTGAATCAGAACTGACATTCAGAGTGTTTTTATTTCGTTTCTTTTTTTTTAAGTGAATCTCAAAGACAATATTTAGATAATAGCATAGATTTATATTCAATCACACGTGTTATTTTATTTACACTACCTTTCATCATCTTTGAAATAGCATCATGATTCCATACTCCAAAAACTTGGCATTTTTCTGAGTGATGAAATCATCTTTGTACACAAATTGATTTTTTGTAGTGGTTAGTGGTGGCTCACTATGTTCTCACTCCAAACATCTTTTGCTCCACATTGTTGTAAATAAGATATTTTTCATCATCATTGATCATTCGTTCCAAAAATGGGCAAATTTTATTGTATTTGCACAAAGAATCTTCAATGGGGAATGTGATCCATAAAAGCGTTTTTTAAAATCATGAGTCACTCAAAAATCATAACAATTCACATATCCAAGTGTTTTCAAATGCCTTATGATGTTCATAAAAGATATACATACCATCTGTGATATTTTGTATTGTGCAACCTGGATTATACTTAATCAGAATTTCCATTCTGTCATCATCAATGACTGCAGCTTTGCCAGAATGTTCTCAGTTTTCCAAATCAAAATTTCCAATTCTGAATCTAGCAAATCACTTAAAAAAAAGTACTCAGCTATGGCACCATCTCTATAAACAGCACCTATCTTTTTTGCTTTTTGTACAGTATTTTTTCTTTTCTAGAAATAAAAAAAGCATCAAATGATTTGAAAATGCATCTCATTTTCCTCCAGTTTCACTTTTAAAATAAAAATATTTAAAACTCACAATCCACACAAATCGTATAGAGAGAAATGGTGAAATATCACATTAAACACCACCTAGTGAGAAACACTACAAACTTTTGTTCTAACCCAATATATAGTAGGAGGTCTTGAGAAGCTTTACTTTTAAGATCTCAAATTAACTTTAAATTGAATAATCTGTTATTAATGGAATAACATTTACCAGTATTGAATATATAAGTATGTTGCGGAACTTTGATGATTGATAGCAAATGAATACTTTCAGAGTGATCTGACTATAAGCCCTTTTTGTTTTGTTTCTTTTTTAACATCTACTTATTTACTAGAACTTCTATCTTGATGTCTACATCCTTTTTATCTGTAAAAATGTTTTTGGTGGGTGGGTTTTTTATATTGAATACACTGTTTTAAAACTGGTTCTTTGCTGGTAACATTTGTACACCTAATATTTCTGTTTGAATAATCATCTGCATTGCTGAAAAAATGTTTAAGTTCTCAGAGAGAAAAAAAAACAAAACAAACAAAAAAAAAAAAAACAGATACAAATATTTAGATCTCATGCAGCAAAACCTAAAATAGAAATCAGATTTTCTAGCACATCAAGATCTATACGAGTCATTTGTTTTTATATCTACAAAAAAAAAAAAAAGAAAAAATAGTTACTTAACCAGGAGCTATCCACCAAAACAAAAATAATAAACAATAACTCAGAAGAGGCCAGCAAAACATATTGCTTTCAAATCATTTCTTAAGATCTTCAAAGACACAAAAAAAGATAGGGATATTAAAAATGAGGACAACAAGACAGAAACAAGTCAAAATGATACACAATAAAGGGATGGCCTTGAAACAAATACATCGAAAAACATTTATTGAAACTGGATGGACCAAAGAAATGGTTGCAAGGTCATTAAAAGGAAAAATCTAACAATATTTTGTCTTCAACAAAATTCATTTTTGTTAAAAGTAAAATATTTATATTATGATATCATGGTAATCTTTGATGACTCAGTGAGAAAATCAGGTCAGACATATGACAGACACTACTGTGCAAGTTGAAGCAAGCTTAACTAAAGAGCAATAAAAAAAAAACCCCTCAATTTTAAGAATTAACATGTTAAAAGAAAAAAAAGCTCCTGGTGAACAAAATACTTAATACTGTTAGAATTTAATCCAGATTAAGTTTGGAATTATTTTTGTTGCCTTTTCTTTCTTTTCAGGGTATCCAAAACTGGATTTGATCACCACTGGAATTTTATCATACCTCCACCCCAATCATTTACTGACAGTTTGTCATGAGGAAGGAGTGGTATTGTGGAAATATTCTTCTTTGTTGTGTCATGTCCATTAACAACTATTTCTTGTGCTTTGTAGTTCTTACCAAATTTAGTCTTTTTGCTATCTCTTCTAAACCAATCTGCTAACCATTTACATGAGCTTATGTGCTGTTTTCCACTACCCACTTGCCTTCAATATGTCCTGTAAGATGTCAAATTTTCCAAGCCTTCTTTCCTCATTATGTAACCTAGTAATTTCAACTCTCTGTGATGTTAAGTGTCCATTTTGTCTGTTGTTTTTTTTTATAAAACATGGTCATTGCATACATGTTCAGTCTTTAGTATTCTCAGCATCCTTCTGCACAACCACATTTTTGTTGCTTCAAGTCTTTTGCTCATCTGTGGGGAGACTGTCCAGCATTTCACAAGTGGAAAGATTATATTGAATCAATTGCTCAGTCTGCTGCTAAGAATGTTGGTTCACTGTGTCATGCTAGACAATTTTGTTTGCCAGAATCTATCTAACATATTTATAAGTTTAACATTTGTCCATGCATTGAATATTACTGCCACATCTGGTCTGGTGCTTCTGTTATGTATTGAGAGATTATTGATAAAATACAAAGAAGTATCTACCATAACAGCTTCCTTGTGCCATTTTATAAATATCTTCATGGCAATTATTCTGATGAACTCTCCTATATGGAATCTAGAGTTTATGAATTTAAGTGAAGTACTGGCAAGGTCTTATTTTATTGGCCAAATGTAATCATAAGTTCTCTGCTAACAATTTCTTTTCTTGCATTTACAACTTGTGAAACTCTTCTGGCTTCTTGCTTTTCAGTCAACTTTGATAGAGAAAAATTTAAATCCAACATCATTTGTTAATTTATGCCTTCTTTATAACTGTACTTTTATTATTCTCTCTCATTAATAATTTTTTTCTTATATTCTCACATTCAGTACCCCCTTGCATTTTAGTGGCTTTATTGCCTTGGGATAAAATGACTAGAAAAAAAATCACTTCCATATAGGAGGACTGATATTACATAACAGTTAAGTACTCTTTTCTTTGTTTCTATGAACTGATATCACTACACAGTATTCATTATAAATGTATGGAACCTGGAAATAAAAATCATTTTATTGTTACCAATTCAATCCGATCTTTTGTTATTTTTCTAAGTTAATTGCATCTTATCACATGCATCTTCCAACACACTGATACATATAGGGTGCAATATGTAAATATATGTTGTTTTTTATTTTGTCATTTGCACAATCTAGTAGGGTCCACTGGAAACAATCTGTGCAAAAAAGGGAACCATGATACAATTCACTCTTGGCATACTGTACTGCTTGGCATTCGCACCAGAAGTTTCAATACAAACATTTTAATGTTTTGGTGTCAAACTGAGGGCATTGGAGAGGATTTGAAAAGAGTTAGATCATATATCCAGTCAACATCATGGCATTTGAAGTGATCACTAGTGATGGTGACATTATGCATCCATTCATCTTTCCACAGGGCCTCAAACTCAACACAGAGGCCTACATCAAGTGCCCTGAGGAGGTAGTCCTACCCAGGGCCAAAAGGGTGGCTGCTGGAAGACCCTATGTCTAGCACCATGACACACAAGCAGGAGAACCTAGTCATGAATGCCAGACAATTTCTGTGACCACATCAACCCTTACATCTGGCCCCCTAACTCCCCAGACTGCAACTCCCTTGATTATTATGTGTGGGGTGCAGTTGAGCGAGAGACCAACAAAACTCCAAAGAAGAAATGAAGGTAAGGATTATAGCAACATTCAACAACTTAAAAGTTGCAAGAGATTCCAAAGCCGTCTGGAGGCCATGGTTGAAGCCAATGGCGATTTTATTGAATAAATTTACTCATTAGTATTTCAAGACATTTTTGTGTAATTTTGGTAAATATATCTGTAAAAATGAGATGTCAGTGTTATTTTCATTTTTGTTTAATTTAGATGACAATTTATCCATCCTGCATATCTGTTAAAATAGATCTCCATGTTATTTTCATTTTGGCGTCATTTAGATGACAATTTATGCATCGCACCCTGCATATCTGTAAAAATTAAATGTCAGTATTTTTGTCATTTTTGTATAATTTAGACGACAATTTATCCATTGGACCCTGCATA